AGAGAAAAAAAGGGGTGAGCGGGAGGGGAGATCCGGTTCTAGCTGTGCAGAGGGCGACGCGTTGGCCGAGTGGTAAGTTCGGTAATTAAGGAGAAACGAACGCCTATCGTAAGAATGAGAACTCTCACGAACATAAAAAACTTAAATGATTGAAGTCCAGACTTAGGAAAAAAAAAACAAGATGCACTTGGCCTCGGTCATCCTGTTTGAATCGAAATAATTTCTGCTACAAGCAAGGCCTGTTTGCATTTTTTTCCCGTCGCTCATCTCATTCGGCGGGCCAAATTTCCCTCAAATCCTTCCAACCATCCTAATAATTCAGCAGGATAGAGTCTGTCGAGCAGCGCCAGCCGGCAAAACGGAATTTTTTGTCGAACGGCGAGTTTTTTTGTTAGTTCAGTCAGCCGCAGTGCGCCTTGGCCGCTACCCCTGACGACGCAGCCGCTCATCCCCCACTGGTCCATTCCCCTCCCTCCTCCGGGGCGCGTTACGTCATCGGTTTCGCTGCCTCTACCCACGAGTACCACCCAGTATAAATATAATAAATATAAATGAAATATAGAATTTATTTATAAATTATAAAGATAAGGTGAGATAGTTATGATAAGATGTTACTCTTTACTGATTTGTTCTGAACATTGATTCTATGATATTAAATAGGCTGATATGTAGAAATAGGAAGAGAGAGAAATTATTGCATAAAATAATGATAATAAATCAAGTAGCCTCAGCAATATAACTCACATCACAATTTCTTAAGAAGCGTTATTGAAATAAATTAATTTATCTCTTTAAGATGGACATGTTTTAAGAAATTGGACATTGGTTTTCTTGTAGTAACAAATTTCTTCCTACCCTTTTTAGATAGTATTTAGTAATGGGTACGCCTCTTTCTTGTAAAAAAATGAAGGTTTTTCAGTGTCAGCAACGTTTCTTTTACTTATTTTAAAATTCATCATACATTCGGTGACATAAAAACTAATAATTTATGTATTTAGTCTGATATATAAATAGTAAAAGAAACAGCATGAGGTGATGATTGTAGAGGTATAGCCGTTAATTATTTTTTTTATAAAATAAAATTGGATCTATGAAATTTATTAAATGTAATATAGCGGTAAATAAGTAGTTTCGGACTATGTTTACAACTTATTAATTGTGACGAAATAAAATTTAGGACCTATGTAAATAACAAACGGAAAACTGCAAACCTATGTTTCCTTATTGATTTAATGCTGAAATAATTCATAACTTAAGATTATTTATTTAAATATATTTTTAAAAATTTTAGGTGAATAAAACAGAATTAAAACGACAATTTAAAATATAGCGACAGTAAATAAATAACTATAAACATTTAAAATTACTATTAAGGAAAATGTGCGTTATCACTTATAAACAGACAAAAAGAAATTAAAATTTATAATTTAAATTTAGACTTTATATAGAAGAATCTTGAAGGTATATTTAAGTTTATTGCAAACGATTTTTCGATACAACCTAAACGATTTACTGTCGATTACAAAAGATAAAAAGTGAAATAGTTCCACACGTATTTGGAAGCAACTTCCATCGACATTTATACAACAAAATTGATTTATTTTCTAATCTAAATCCGCTGAATCTAATGATAAATAGACCTATATTCAACAGTCGATAATTTTAATTCAGAATGAAGGATCAGTTGTTAATTCGATAATCATACCAAATGTTAAAATATAATAATTTAATAAAATCTAATTATAGGAAGTAATGTAATATAAATTATTCGGCTTTATGGATTACGTTATCTTATTATAATATAGTCTGTTAACAATACTCTTTAGGAAGATTATAAAGTAATCGAACAAAATTTAAATGCGTTAAGGGTTATCGATACTCTTTACTCTATACTATAGTATTATAATCTACACTCATCACACAAAAATTACCGAATACTTTTTTCTTTCTTTTTTTTTTGCATTTCTCGACGTTCTAAGGTCCAAAAATTTAAAAATTTTGGGGTAATTTTTGACCGATCGCCATACTTTCCTTCTGTTATATAAAACGCCGAGAAAGTAAAAATTATGCATTTGTCTTCGATAAATGAAATCATAATTTGTTAACGAAAATATCCAATCTGCGAAATTCAATTTAGTTTTAAAATAAAATAATAGAAAATATTTTGAAAATTCTTAGAAATTCTCAGTTTTCAATTATAAGAAATTAGAGAATTTTCCTCAAAAAAAAAAAAAAAGAAAGAAAGAAAGAAAGAAAGAAAAGAAAAAAAAATCGACTATTCAGACAATAATTAAGTTGTTGTAGTAAGCTATTTCCCATTTCTTACATTAAATAATATCGTATGGTTATTTTCACACAATACAAGCCGTCAAAATAATTTTGACACTCGAAGTTACTGGGATTCGTATGACAGACAAGTAATCTTGAAACCCTCGATTCGCATTACGTCTGACCAACAGCCAGACTAGTCTGCTACCCATCTTTATAAACATCCTGATTTACTGTTTATCGTTTCCAAATTAATAGATCCGTCAACTAATGGAAAATTTCAGTTGGACGCGATTAATTTTTTCCCTTTTAAAATATTAAATATAACTGGTAATGAGGGGGCAATCAAGAAAGGTTAATTGATGCCGAATTATTTTTAAGAAAAATAATTGTTTTTTTTTTTTAGTTAATTCTGGGTATTAGATTTAATAATTTATGTAAAGAAGCGACTGTTTTATTGTTTAAAAACATCTCATTGCAGGTGTAGAGAACATTGTAGGAAGGAAATATAACGATACACATCTGGTATCTGTCCGATGCACACCTGCAAAACGGTCGCTAAAATCGTGGACATTTTTTTTGTTTTTTGTTTTGTTACTTCGGGGTTGCTCTCTGGTCGAAGTAGACATTCGCGTTCTCCAGCGGCAAAAACAAACGGAGAGACTGCGTCGACGACGGCGTTGCCATAGAAACGCCAGTCGAGACCGAAGGGTTTAAAAGGAGTTTGTTTTTCCTCCGTCAAAAGCAGCCATTTCCTAGAATCCTCTTTTAAAACCAGCCAAAAATACGAGGGAAAAAAAATTCAAAAAGGAAATTATTACCGGTTCTTAATTCTCTTTTAATAATTTACGGGGTCTGTGTTTGTATCAGGCGGGTTAAAATCCCCGAGCAGTCGCTTTTTTTATGTGGGTTGACTAGTCGCCGTCGCACTGTCTGGCTGCAGTGAAAGGGTTGATACGAGCAGAAAGGGTTAAGACAGCGGTGGGAACAGTCAAGATGAAAAGAGAAAAAAGAGAAGAGAAAAAAAGGGGTGAGCGGGAGGGGAGATCCGGTTCTAGCTGTGCAGAGGGCGACGCGTTGGCCGAGTGGTAAGTTCGGTAATTAAGGAGAAACGAACGCCTATCGTAAGAATGAGAACTCTCACGAACATAAAAAACTTAAATGATTGAAGTCCAGACTTAGGAAAAAAAAAAAACAAGATGCACTTGGCCTCGGTCATCCTGTTTGAATCGAAATAATTTCTGCTACAAGCAAGGCCTGTTTGCATTTTTTTCCCGTCGCTCATCTCATTCGGCGGGCCAAATTTCCCTCAAATCCTTCCAACCATCCTAATAATTCAGCAGGATAGAGTCTGTCGAGCAGCGCCAGCCGGCAAAACGGAATTTTTTGTCGAACGGCGAGTTTTTTTGTTAGTTCAGTCAGCCGCAGTGCGCCTTGGCCGCTACCCCTGACGACGCAGCCGCTCATCCCCCACTGGTCCATTCCCCTCCCTCCTCCGGGGCGCGTTACGTCATCGGTTTCGCTGCCTCTACCCACGAGTACCACCCAGCACGTGGGGTGAGGCAGCCAATCAGGGGCTGGGAGACGAACCGTCGCTTGCCACTTATATGGGTAGTGGCACGACAACAATCAGTACCCCCCACCCTTTCGTCTCCCTAGCCTGGGGACGGGTTGTCCGGAGAAACCTCAGATATCCCCGCCGTAGACAGCCGTATGTTGGTTCTTCAGCGATCGTAAGGTAGGCTATCCAACATTACTCTATATCTGTAATGTCGTCCTTATTCCTAGTCTTATTCATCCGGGCTTTTTCTTCACGTGCTTTTTCTCCGACGACGACGATGGCGTCAAAGGGTTGCCGAGCCACTACGAAAGGCTGTGACATGGTAGTGGCTCTACGCGCCGGCAATTAGTTCCACGGCCGACTCGTGGCCAATCTGTCTTACGTTCCAAAACACCGGACCCAGGTCAGGTGATTTTGACCCCGAAATAACGCGTTGATACGGATAGAATAGCCAGCAAACGATGGCATTCGTTGTCGCTTCACCTTTCTCCAAGTATGGGTAGTGGAGTGGACTAGAGGAGGAAGTAATCGATTCCGCTTCTCGAAATCGATAGCGATAGCACCGAGATTCCTTCAAATTACACTTTCTTATTAGTTAGAAGAGGGACGATTAATCTATGTATACTTTAGTCATTGTTAACAGATCATTGCGATGAAAGAAAGTTTCTTACGTCTGCCATGATTCTTACTTCACACCGCATTATTTACGAATGTAATTAGACTAACGTCGGTACAATCTCGATGGAACCGCTCGCAAAATGAAAAAACTCCACATTTATTTTAGAAAATCCCTACTCTACCCTACCCAACCTACCTGTAATAGTTTTTCGCATTTTCTAGTCGGCGAAATACGTGAATTCGATAAATTTAGTATTAACTTATACGTGCTTTTTATAACTGTACTTAACCGTAGCACTTAAGTCGAAATTTCTATTTTTAAAAATAAAAACCAAGAAAGTATTTATTTAATATATTGTATTTTTATTATTAGTTATATAAGATGTTTGTGACGAGTGAAACTAAAAATGTTGGCTCTACCTATCGGTTTGGCCATATTTTAATTTTTTTTTGTTTTTTGGTCCATAAATATTTATATTAATTGCTAACAGATGGCGCCATGATAACACGGATCTCGAAAGGACTTTTTTATTTCCGGGAAATGTTCAATTTGTACACATTTCGTTAAATACAAAACTAAATCACCGTCTCCGTCCGTAGAAAGATTAGTGATCGCTCTTTATAAATTTAAATTGTGACACGTGACGTATAGGGGAATCGTATAGTTCTGTCAGCGGCTAAACAAAAGCAATGTACTCGTGGCAGAAAAAGGAGAAGGAAATCAGCAAGCCATCCACGTGTCGTAGGGTGGATTTCGGACGACAGACGTGGGATAATTAGAATTCACTAACGACGAGAAGTTTCGAGCCGTGGTACGAGAAACTTCCTGTCCCCGTTTCTTTGGCTGGCCGACTCTTCTTTGTAGATAAAACCACCTGTCGACCCATCCCCGGTTCCGGCCACACCGTAACGACTATTACGAATCAATTTTAGCCCTTAACATCGAAAGTACCCTGCAATATCACTCTCCTACAACTAGAAGAGAAGAAAAAGGCTGCCACCCGTCCCGTACCGATCACCATCTTTCGAATGTATCCTGGTAGTATTTTTTTTTACCTGACACAACTTGCAGACGTCGATGTTTGGTGAACTGCGAAGTAGGGGTGAGGAGAGGGGTATAAACAAGGCCACCCAGTGACGTGAACGTTCCGTCCACGCATGTACATCCGCCGCTCTCCGGCACCTGTGACTGACTGATTCAACAACGGCTGGCTGTGCGGACCATCCCTCTCCCCGGATATCTCTCGCGAACTGTGATATCCCGCTGTGTCCTACGGACGAACCACACCGGGGTAATGGTGGGCCAGTACTGCACGGATACAGACGCGGTGACGTGTCGGAGTCTGCATTCTCGAACCATCTATGTGCACCCGGTGTTGTTAACACTAACACCGTCCAACTGGTGCAGTATGCCGGAGCCTTTACGGTACGGTCGGGGATAGTTGATCATTCCCTCGTCCGTCCGACATCGTGCGTTATGGATCAGCAAGTTCGTGATTTTCTGACCCACTGTTCGGCTGCAGATACTCCTACTCCTTCTGGACACCCCCAACCGTCGACCAGCTGTCTCGGCAACCGAATCCTGTCCAGGAATGCCAATGGCACAAGTAAGTAACACCTGAGACGTTTGCTATCTCGTCAAATCGCACCCCCGTTCCTTTTTTTCTTCCTGCGTATTTCCCATTGTAAAGACGAGTTATCAATCTTCTGTTAACCCTTGCTAATCGCGTCGTATCGCCGATTGCCACTTTCAGTACTGTTAGCCTTGACTTCTATGTCTGTTTATTTAGTTGTTTATACTAGTATTATAAATGTGCTGTCGGCGCTTCCCTCGAAACACTCCCAAACTAATCGCTATCACAAGTTTACGCTTTAAACACCTCTACCAATTGATATCTATACTATTAAATTTAATGAAATTAACCGGGCTTATGTAAATTTTCAATTGTTCTTCTTCTATTCAATTTATTAAATTTATAGTAGATTAAGTTATTTCCAGATTAAAGCCAGACTTGTGTATAATAGAAACAACCTCGTCTCTATTCCCAATTAATCCTAAACATAGAATTAAAAAAAAGAAATTAAGAAAGAGAAACTTTTTCTAAACTTTTATGAAGGTTTCTATCAAAAGCCAACACCTGTAACATTAACATAATTGCATTTTCTGTAAGTCGTCCTAAAAAATAAACCAATTTATTAACCGACACGAAACAGAGAGCAAAAAAAATTCTCTCTTTCATGCACTGACATTACTATTTCTCGACTTTATAAAAAAGTGACCACTCGATTTATTGGATAGTTTATTGAGCTGTGTGACTGTGTCCCATAAACCTGTAAGAAACATACAGGCAATGTTCTTTTATAGCCAGTACATGATTAAATAGTTTTTTTTCTTACTTAAAGTTTTTATGAGAGAAAAATTTTTAAACTTAATTCTGCCAACTCTTTTGACCCACTTACTGATGTGACAGTACCGAGTTGGTCGTAGAAAAATTAATCATAAAAATATAGCCGATCTTTATCAAGAGATAAGAAAATTGTTTAACGGAACCGTTCGTGTGATGCATTATTATAATTTTTACAAAAATCCTAACAACTTTCTCTTCTACATAAGAAATTAGATTGATAGTGTCTCCCAGGCAGCTATTTTGCATACAGAGAGACTCAGAATTGCCTTTTCTTTCTTGTGTTATTAGTTAAAGACAAATGATACTATAACACTTCCGATCACACACTGATTTTTAAAGAAAACATTACTAGTGGCTATTCAATACGAAGAGTACACTAACCAATTAATATTAAATATAATCAGATTTTTAAGGATAGGAAAGAGAAAACTTTTTTTTTTAAATGATGTATACCCTCATTCTTTGCCCATTGGAAGAGTCATAATTGAATACACATATAGATCTTAATGGAGTGTTAGATGTCATTAGTGTTCCAATTACAAAATGTGAATACGGGAAGAGCAGCGACTGGCCTCAGCAATTGTTTAGTTATGTCAACAGTGCACCGCACAATTACAGACGTCAATAGAGACGAAGTTAATGACATTTACTCTGTCTACAGCTTATAAGATACCGCTACAGTCTATGTTAAATAGGGACAATACTGTTTTGGCATTTTTTTCGTTAAGTATTATTGGAATTCGAGTTTTTTTTTTATCGTTTTAAAAAATTTATAATAAAAGATCAAATTCTGAAGTTTGTCTCCCTCCTCTCTCTCTAATCAATATTATTAAACACTTATCCTTTTACTTCTAAGTTTCTGTGTGACACCGATATACGATTATCGTNGAAACGAAGAGCAGGTCACGCAGCCAGCCAGCGATGGATCGATCTTCAGTCCCGGTTACCAAAGGGTTGACGACGTCTGTAGAGCTCACACACGCACATATGACAAAAAACTTCCTACTCTCTCCCCGGGTAGAAACTCTGCGCAGTGGCGCCCGAACCTACATATTTTTATATTATAACAATTGGGCATTAATACACGAAGGGTCATTCTACCTGATGCTCTTTAATCTGGAGCCAGTCACAACTTTTTATTATTATTTTTTTTAAGTTGAAAATACTCTTATGAACCATTTCCAGCATTCTTAATAATCATAGAGAACTCGCAACATGCCCGAAGAGCTAATGACCCTTTGTGCAACTAATCTATAAACATAGAAATAGATGTTTAGGTCATCAACACTGGGTCAAGAAATCAGCAGTAAGTGAGATTTTTTCTTTTTATTCAAAGGGCGGAGGAGAGTATGGTCAGCCGAGTTCCCCCCTTTCCCTCACACCGGTTCTTGTAGAAAGTCAGATCCAACGACTGTCAGAGGCAGCTGAATTCCTGGTGCAGAGTTTGCCATCGTTCGAACCAAAGCCTCAAAATAACAAGAAGAAGATTTGTAAAGACTTAGAGGTAGGCGCATGCTTTCAAGAAAACAGAAAATGTTTTTTGTTTAACTTTTTTTTCCTTCGAATATTGGAACAATGATTGTGAGACGGGGGAACACGGCATGTTGTACCCTGTTCATTTGCATTCAGTAAAATAAACAGGTATGTAATATTTATTGGGCTATTATCCTATTCGAAATGGCAATAGCAGCAAGTTAAACGGTAAGTCCGTTAATAATAAAAGAGTAATGGCTTAAATAAGGAATTGTGATGAAGGTAGAATGATATGTGCGCGTTAATATATATCATCAGACTTCACTTAAATATATTTTAATAAATTATAGACAAATATATAAGTTTAAGAGGCGCCATATCTTATTATCTAATTACTTTATTTGTGAATTGAGGCGGGAATTTTCTGAAAATAATTAAAAGAGTGGAATATTCATTACAGAATTTGATTTCATTGTGATGAATTTTTACTCGCACTCAATGTACTCTACGTAGTTCATGATCTCGTTTTGTTAACTGAATTTATTATTAATTCGATATTCTTAACAACGTTAATTATAAAATGAAATCTTTTAAGTGTAAATTTATTTAATTGGAAAATTCTTTCAACCTCAAATTTTCTTTAAAATAGATTATATAAATAAACTTTACAAGGATTTCTTAAAAGCGTGATTAAGTCTCATAGGTTACTTTAGTACTCAATTTAATTGTCCACAAAAATAAAATAAGCTTATCTAATAGACTATAGAAAACAGTATTCCCTCGTTAAACCATTTCTATTCAATTTTGCATCATTGTTGTGAGTACCAACCAATACAACATCATTAAACGAGTCTCGTTACATTAGTTAATTTGTCGGATTATTCTAAACACACTTTTTTCGCTGGATAGAAAACGATCAAAAACAATTTCCCACATATGATTTACGATAGTCTGGAAACTGGATAAACTGAAAACCGATCTGGCAGCAAAATAATCGATATCAAAAAGTTGCCAAAATAAAATAAATTACATCCACCCACACACACATATTTTTTATATTATATTATTTTATACGTATATTATATATTATAGTTTTACTATTAATCGTTTATTGATATAAATAATACAGAAATATACGATAAATTTAAATTATTGTATTAAATTGTTCAAATGTATGGATTAGTTATAGAATAATTATTATAATTAAAATTTTTAAAAAATTTCTGTTTTATATATCGTTAAATGGCAATAGTTTATACCAGCAAAACATTAATTTGAGAAAAGAGGTTTTTGACAATAGCAATTTACTACATGTGGGTTTCTGATTTTTCCCCCTTTTTTTTTTATTTTTAACAAGCGAAAAATCTTTCGTGTTTCGAAACAAACTCTTTTTACTGTTTCATTTCCTGGTATTGTATTGATTGATAATGAATTTTTATTTTATTCAAATGGAATATTTTATGTTTATTTCAATTTAAAAAAAATATGTAACCGGTTGAAAGTCGAATTAACCGGTTTGCCGTAAATTTTGATTATTAAAGAGAAATGGAATAATTTATTTGTTTACCTTATTAAAGAATTGTGTAGCATAACTTTAAATATGCAAATTTACCAGTTTTTAATATTGCGTCTCGTTTACAATTTTTCTTTCAAAAATTTGATATTCGATTAATTGTTTTATTTGTTTTTGATATTCGATTTGTATTATTTAACTGATATTATTTAAGCAAATGATAAATATCGAACGGAGTTGTATTTATATGCATTTACTTTTATGAACGAATGCGAAGTTTTTGTTCCTAAATCGATACGAGGCACGTGAAGCGAACGCAGCCGATTTCCGTTCATAATTTGTGTCGGAAAAGGTCCACCAACGGTTTTGACGGGTCAAGGAAACTTTGAGAAGAGTCGTGACTTTTCTACGGAATGACGTCAGTCACTGGGAGCCGAAAGGTAAAGTCGACTCCCAGGAAGGAAACATTAACGCTTGGCACAAGAGGGCGTTGTCGTACTTCGGTCCACCTGGGACTGAAGATAGAAGCTCTGGCCTCTTGCCAACTCCTATCCCTCGGTATGGAGTGGAGACGATGGACTTTGGCTACTTTCGACAGACGTATTGGACGAATAGTCTTCAACTGACCTACTTTCTTTTCCTTCAGTAGTTTTTCTTTCCATACTCGATTGTTGAACCGTATGGATTTTTTGAGTCTGATAAATAAAAACGACAATAACGACTTATCCTATTTTTAACGGTACTTCGAATTACGTTTAATAATAATATGAATTTAATATCGATAGATAAATCTTATTTCTGACGCTCTCCAATGGATCAATATTTCTCGTGTTCTTTTTTTATGCGCCCTTTCCGGTTAAAGCGTTAAATTCGGCAATTGTCCGAAACGAACTTGTAATAAAATTTTGTTGGAAAACATTAAATAACATAAAAAAGATTTAGTACTAATGGTAGAGAAGTATAACCACTCCCAAGCCAAATTAAATAGTGCGGAGGAAAGATGGATTTGAAACGAAGAGCAGGTCACGCAGCCAGCCAACGATGGATCGATCTTCAGTCCCGGTTACCAAAGGGTTGACGACGTCTGTAGAGCTCACACACGCACATATGACAAAAAACTTCCTACTCTCTCCCCGGGTAGAAACTCTGCGCAGTGGCGCCCGAACCTCCTTGTATTGTGCGCACATCTGCCTACTTGTCTTGCGAGCTGTTT